AAAATTTTGCCGCCTGTTGCCTTGCACAGTCAGCACAGCAGTTAGGGTGATTAAAAAAATAAATGTTTCTTGCCGTGCCCAGTCAGCACAATAGGTATAGTTTTGTGCATTACCCTTGTCAGACATACATTTGACGGAATTTTTTTTTGGTATATTCTGAGAAATTAGCCTAGAATAACTTTTGGAATAAAGCCCTAAAGAGGGAGGAAAAGCCATTCAGTTTGCAGGGTTTGACATTGAATAAGTCGTTTGCCTTGCAGCGAATCTGGCCTTAGTTAGAAAGAATAGGTTGGAACTCTTGTTACATCGTATGACATTATAGTTAGAGAATGAACATATAAGAAGAGTTTTTAGGAACTTTCCAAAGGATCTCTTTTGCGGGATTGCAGAAATAAAGTATGCAAGAAAGTAAACTATCCTTTTAAGGGAAGTCGAACATGCCAATCCTTTGATCTGCGTTGGGAGCTTATGCTAGGATGTAATAGAACAACTAATTATATTTGGATTTCTAATATTAGAGAATCTTATCCTCCCAGTGACGGCACTCGTTCCCTAGCTTTCAACAACCTAGTTGAGGAAAATGTTGACAAAAGCCATAGAAAAGAGGGAAATTGTAAGTCTTAAAATAGCTGCACAGCCTAAGGCTTTGTTTGGATTGCTATTTTTAGGATTTTTTTTTGTAGAAAAATATACTGTAACGATTTGATATATGTGAGATAGAGGTTATTGAAAAACATGTTCACAAAAAACGTAAAAATTTTTTTTAGAAAATTACAATCCAAACAAGGCCTTAGGCTTCCTGTATACATCCCTAACAACTTGTCATGGATAAAGCTTCCTTAAAGTAATGGAAATTATTTAGTGAAAATTAAAGTAACGGAAAACTTGAACTCAGCTACTGTATTACTGCCTAAGAGAGGCTTATTTAGTGGAGTGTAGAATGGATAAAGTAAAGGCTAGGACAGTTAAATTAATAGCAAAGTTGGTCTCGTCTTTACAATTACTAAGAAATCATACTTTACAATCTACCTCTCACGAGATTGAGGTATTAAAATAAGGGCTACTCAGTGACCAATGCACTTTCAAGGTCCTTTTTTGCCCAAGGTAAGGCTTGTGAATTAAGAAGAATTGAATTGGGAAGTAGGGAGAGAGGCAAAGATACACGTGATGAGAGATTAGCCAAAATACGAAAAATAGCGTTCAAAAGGAGAAGATTGAGAGTTGAAGATAGACCTACACAGAGTTATTTGTAGGTTAGAGATGTAATTTTATAATTGTAGTATAAAATTTTTCTTATTTCATGAGAGACTCATATTTTGTATTCAACTAAGAATATTATTATTTAATATGTGTTCATGGTATTTCAGATTCAGTATTTAGGTTATGGGCAATTACTTTCAAGAAAGCAGAGAAAAAGAGAAAAAGGGTCATTGAACATTTTGCTACTGTTATTCAAATATCTTTTATGCATAACAAGTTTCTTATTTAGCTACTATTTCCTTTATTTGATCTTTTTTTAATCCCTAAAATAATGAAGTTGCTTTGATACTTAAGAGCCTATTTGACACCCCAATTTTTAAGCATGTTTTTGTTAAACAAGATTTTTTGTTAACTTTATCTATAGTAACTCTAAAAAACATCACAAATTTTTTAAAATACATATTCGAAAATATTTAAAGCTATACACTCATTTCTCTTTTCTATCATTACCCCTTAACTATTTCCATTTTCATCGCTACTCGACACTGGTGTCGACACACCACTTCTTCTTTTTTTTTTTTTCTCTCTTTTCCTCTCCTTCTTTCTTCTCTTTTCTTTTTCCACACCTACTTCCTCTCCTCCTTCCTTCCTGCCACTCCCTCTCCTCTACATCCTTTATCCTCCTTCCATCCCCCGCGACCCCCTAGCTTCCTTCCCTGCTGGATCTGGACCAGATATAGCCGAAGAGAGGAGAAAATGGAGGAAGAAAAAAAGAGAGAAAAAAATGTGAAAAGTGGTGGTAATTGGTGGTTGGTGATGGTGTTCGGTGCTTGGAGTAGTGGCAATGGCAAGGAAGAGGAAGAGGAGAGGAAAAAAAAAAGAAAAAAAAGAAAAAGAAAGGAAAGAAGGAAAAGTAAGGAAAAAAATTTTAGAATTTCTCCAAAAAAGATTTTCTCAAAGTCTACCATAAGTTATAGTAAAATTTTATATAAATAACCAAAAAATACACCATCCAAATGGGGCCTAAGTTTCTATCTTGACTACTTACAAACTTTGTTTAGATTAATTATTATTTTATTGTTCTAAAGCATTACGACTTTATTATATATTTTCTATTGCATGTAAAATTATATTTATTTATTTGAACAAAAGGTTATACTTTTTACATACTTTGTACTGAACTAGGTATATTTCATATTATCGAGCAATCTATGCCTCCTAACGTAGAAATAAATGTGCAAGTGGGAGCAATAAAGGTGACATAACCATTTAGCTTTGCTATTGTTAGTCTATGTTATCATCATCATCTTCATCATAAGCACTGCCAACTACAGTTCTGTTAATTTGCAACTAAAGTTTTAAGGTATGGATGGGTGCTACTACGAGGGACTTTTCAGTCAGGGCTGCGTAGGATGCCATTAGATAGAAACAGAGCATCTCACGTGTGGATAAATTTGTTTGGGGCAGTAGGATCCCTCTCAAGATTTCTTTCTTTGTCTGGAAGCTGACTCGGGGATGGGTGCCCTTGGAGGTGGTCCTGGAGAGGAGAGGCTTCTCTATGGACTCTCGTTGTTCTTGCTGTCAGGCTGGGGAAGAGTCCATCCTACATGTGTTTGTGACTGGTCTGGTAGCGAAGGAGGTGTGGCAACATTTTCAGAGACGATTCGGGATTCTGGACGACCCTTTCTCATCTATCTCAGTCACGCTCCTTTCATGGTTTTACTCGACGTCTAGGGTGGCGTTGGGAGATATACGCATTATTATTCCATTAGTAGTGTTATGGTTCCTATGGAAGAGGAGGAATAAAGCACGATATGAAGGAATTCCTTCTTCGGCACGAGATGTGGTTTTCATGGTGGAGCAGTTTGTCAAACAGCTGGGGAGGGCTGGGATGCTATCAGGGGCCAATTTCAAGAGTGACTCGGAGGACCCTTGGGCCCGCTGGGCAGTACCTGGGTGGCTGAAGTGGAGAGTGTTGCCAGTCTCCTGGTCGCGACCTCCGCTGCAGTGGCTTATGCTCAATATGGATGCTAGTGTCAGCCATGGTAGAGCTTATGGGGGAGGTTTGTTGCGTGACTCTAATGGTCGGCTAGTTTTCGCTTTCTAGAAGGAGTTTGGGGAGCTGGAGGTACTAGCGGCAGAAAGCGCTTCACTGTTGTATAGGCTCCAACGGTGTTCGGATGGGCTTAAAGGGGGCTTGATGGTACAAGTCGACTCGGAAAGTCTAGTTCGATTGCTCAAGTCATCAGCTATAACCAAGTGACCACTCTGCAACACGATTAAAAGGATACGAGCGCTACTTCTCTTTTTTCGGCATCGGTCCAACACATATTTCAGGAGGCAAATTCCACTGCTGATATGCTATCTAAACTGAGGCTTCCATCAAAGTTGTTTTGTACCTCGCAAGATCAGCTTCCTGGGAGGATTCATGTGGCTCTGAGCCTTGATAGTCGAGAGTTTTGCAATGTACGCAGGCAAGTGGACAACGGGTAGTCTCTCAACGATTGGGGGGTTTAGCGGTTTGTGTCCTCGAACTCGTTATAATGTTGCTGCTTCTTAATAAAACTTGGGGCTGGCATCCCTACCCTCTGCGAGGGTTTTGCTAAAAAAAAAAAAACTAAAGTTTTAAGGTTAGACTAAATACATACAAGTTAAGAACTTCTATATTGTATATTAAGTAGAGGGATTTTGTTGCATAAATATTTTGGTGTCACTTTATTTAATTTAATGTAACTTTTGTTCTTCTAATTAACTTCCATGCCAATATCATTTTTGCTCTTGTGATTAACCTCCATGCCATTGCCCATGTATAATATTACTATAACCTATTGAAACTGCTTAAAAACACTCTAATTTACCACTACTACATTTGTGTATTGCTCACCGAGTTCAATAAACTATTTTTCCTAAAGGATTTTAATTACATAAAGATACGTATTTTTCAATGATTGGGCATATACATCCATGGTTTTTTCTCATTTCTATTTTCAAAGTTATTTGAGGAATCTTAGATTTTGTTAGAAACTACAAATCATGATTTTAAGTAATACCATACAACAACCGGCGTATATAATTTTAAGTAAATTCAAATTTCTTTAAAATAATTCAACAAATTTATCAAAAAAGAAAATTCCACAAGTATTTTTGTAATTAGTTGCACAAAAATTAGGTGTGCTTATCACTAGTGAAAGTTTAAGGAGTAATTGCCTCAATTAAAAGTAAGGGAAGCATGTTAATTACATACAGCTGAAAGGAATTACGTTACACCCAAAAAAATTAAGTACTAATTATGCTATTTTGCCATTTTAATTTTTACCAATCCCCCTAATTTCCACCCCAATCCCATGCATCCAACATCTCTACCTCTACCTACAAGTATCCAGCCATCTCCTAAGTACCTAGACAGTAGGAACTAGACTAGAAGTTGATTCATGTACTTGACTTGCTTCTAATCAGGTGGGGAGAAAGAGCATAGTGCATCTCCAAAATTGAGGTCCTACCTCACAAACATTTGAACGCGCCTCCCCCCACTAGGCTTCAATTGAAATTTTCAAATCTCAAAAACAACTTAATTAAGAAACAAAAGGTCCCCACATCCCAAACATTTTACATTTGAATTCCCATATTTACTTGGTATACTATCACCCCACATTTTATTCAATTTACACCAAATCACATGTTAAAAGAAAAAAAAAAAAAAGAAAGAAAGAAAGAGGGTCGATTCCAATTAGAAATAAAAAAAATAAAAAAATTTTCCGCTTTAAAATAAATAAACTTCCGTTCGTTCATACTATTTTTCATCATCGCCGGGTCGCTCCTCTCTCTCTCCCTAAAGCCTTTTTATTTTTATATTTTTTTGTTTTCAAAAGTTCAAAACATTTCCGTGTTTCTTCTTCTGCTTCTTCGCTTCTCCGGTCTCTCGCCGGAAACCCTTACTTGTTTCTCTCTCACCAAGTGATGCACTCGATCTAGGGTTTCTATCCCGATTGTTTTGGATAAGTGTAATTGATCGGATCTGGTTGGAGTTGCTCCAATCGAAGACTGAAGATTTGTTGATTTATTGGAGGGAGAGGAAATTGTTAAAGAAATTTGGATACAATGGACGCGATCGAGGAGTTGTCTCAGCTGTCAGACTCGATGAAGCAAGCGTCGGCCTTGTTAGCCGATGAGGATGTTGATGAAGCCACGTCGTCGTCGTCTAAACGGCCGTCCACTTTTCTCAATGTCGTTGCTCTCGGCAACACCGTACGTTGATGGTTTTGATGTTTAGATTTTTTGTACTTATTTGTGTGTGTGTGGTTTTTAGTCGGATAGATCTCTGGATTATAGCTAATCTTTGGATCTGAAATTGTTGTTTAATTTTTTGGAATTCCATGATTTTGTTTGATGTGTTAATTGTGGGATTCTCTTTTTTTTGCCCTTGTTTTGGGGATTATTGACTGCGATTCTTCTGTTTTAGAAGCTACGTTCTTGTGGGTACTGTATTGATAAAATAGCAGATCGAGTCTCAAAGAGATAGCGTATCATGAACATTGCGTAAGATTGTGCTTAAAGAGAATAAATTTGGCCTATTATAATTCAAGATAGAGTTTCCTACTTAATTGGAAGCTGGTACTTTGTTGGCATTGTTACTATGTCTTTATGTTTATCTTTAAGCGCCTCAGTTCTGTAGTTGGAGAAGCATGACTATTTATGTTTATACACATTTTTTCCGATTGAACTTGAGATGATTAGCTTAGCTAAAGGGAAGCATGATGGATAAGATAGCAATTGAACATGTGCTTGTCATGCCCAGTGTGTCGTTACATTCATTTGTTTCAGTTGCTGATGGAATTTAAATGTTTCGCTTAAGGTACATGTAGGCACATCATGTGTAGAATGAAAATCATGTGGACAAGTACATTTGTGATGTAAATATGATACCTTAAATAGCCAAAAATAAATATGAAGAGAAAGTGGACTAATGACCCTGTAGGGAGGTTTACTTTTGTATGTAGCCTTTTCCAAGAAGGGATGTGAATGTGCTGAAGTAACTGTCCTCCTGTAGTTTTGTTTTCCTTGCAATTGTGTAATCATTTGCCAATGAGTTTTTAAGTTGAAAGCTAAGGTGGAGGAACTAGAATGAGCACTTTTCTTGTAGATGCCACTTATATGCTTAGTGCTTCTGATCAAAATAAAGCTGTGGTGAAGTGATGATTGGATCTGATTGCATATTTGCTTGTGTAGGAAATCATGGAACCCATAGTTTGTTTAGCAATTCAATGTAGAATCTATTTAAGCTTTAGATATATGCATCAGGACAAGCGCTTGGTATAATTCACAAATGCTTGATGGTGAGTACTTCTGACCAAATAAAGCTGAGGAGAAGTGATGATTGGATCTGATTGCATATTTGCTTGTGTAGGAAATCTTGGAACCCATTCTTCGTTTAGCAATTCAATGTAGAATCTCTTTAAGCTTTAGATGCTTCATCAGGACAAGCACTTGGGATAATTGATAAATGCTTGATAGTAGTGACTTTTCCTTGAATGCTTTAATGAAGTGTACAATTTAGTCTGAATTTAATCTTTAACTAAGGAGTTTGTGAATAATCATCATTATATGCGTTAAGAATTCTAAAATGCTACAGCTATTAATGAATGTGTGGGGCAGCAACTGGGCATCTTAATTTCATTTTCTGTATTTCTAACTACATTGTCTGCAATAGGGAACAGCTGGTACATTTTGATGCTCTCAAGTTGTTTGCGGTCCTTAGGCAATTTGTTAATTTTGTATTGTCTTACACAATAAGCTATAGCCCTCTAGGAAGAAACTAAGCCTGCTGTTTCTTACAACTATTTTGCTGGATGTAATATGTAATGGTAAGTCGTGTCATTGAGGTATGGATTATTTGGAATTATGCAAACTAAGTTCGTCGCTCCTGTTCCCTGAGGACCAATTGTCTTCTCAAAATCTAGTATGCTAGTTGTTGAGCTAGCTAATATCCTATCAAACAAACTAAATAACTTATACAAATGGTAACTAAAAGGAAAGAAACTTATATGTGGGGTATTATGCAGATGATAGAATTGCAAATTAGGTTTGCAGCTTGTGTTGATGAGTGATTTGACCTTTGGGGGGGGGGTTGAAAGAATATAGGAGTCTATAATACTTGCCTGCGTGAAATGGAACTGGTTGGCTATATTTGTTAATGCTGCTGACAGAAGCAAGCCTTTCTTAATTTAAAGCAAGGTGCATTCATCTAATGTGTGTTTACTTATGTTATTCTCTCTTGGTTAGGTCAATGATTTATGGTTACTAATTATGTATGCATTAATTCAGGGTTCAGGTAAATCAGCTGTGTTAAACAGTTTAATTGGACATCCGGCTTTGGTAAGTTGTTATTTGGAGTAGATTCTGTGCTTTTCCAGCTTTGAATTATCCAAATATATCTTTTTTCTGTAACTAATTCTGGTTTTTCTATTGACTATTGGTTATAGCCGACTGGTGAAGGTGGTGCTACTCGTGCTCCTATATGCATTGATTTGAAACAGGATGGTTCTTTGAACAGCAAATCGATAATTTTGCAGATTGACAGCAAATCTCAACCAGTTTCTGCAAGTGAGGTTTTTTCCAAAGATTTATGATGCAAATGTCTCTCCCTTCAAATTTATCTGAGGGAAAAAAAACTAAGTGTCTATATGTGTTTGTCTTATTTCATTGCCCCAATTTTAATTGATTACTTTTTGGCCCATTCTAGGTGCCCTTCGTCATTCTTTACAAGACAGACTGAGCAAAATTTCAAGTAAAAGTCGTGATGAGATATATTTGAAGCTTCGAACAAGCACAGGTTGGGTGAATGTCAAAATCTATTTGCATAAGGCCTCTTACTTCTTTAACATATAGCTAATCCAATTTTGGATTGCTCTCTCTCTCTTTCTCTCTCACTTATTCTCTCTCGCATGTTGGAGTTGAACTTAACAAATACAAGCAGAATTTCTGCCTGTAATGTGTTTCTCTTGCCTTTGCAATTTGCAACATTCATTCAGAAGGTGCCACAACTTTTTTTTTGGGCAATGCATAGTGTAAGATTCACTTCTCTTTTTTGCTTCTGGCATGCAGCTCCTTCGTTGAAATTGATTGATTTGCCTGGAGTGGATAAGGGGAATCTTGATGACTCATTGGTGAGTATCTCCAACTGATTCATTTGACTTTGACACATGGCTTTCCCGAGTCACTAGAGTACAATTCTATCAGATATCTTTTCACAACCTTAAGTTACATATTAAATTTCCTACCTATGAGAAACTTAACTGTTTGGTTCTTTCTTGCAGGGTGAATATGCTGAACGTAATGATGCCATCTTGCTTGTGGTAATACCTGCAGCACAGGCACCGGAAGTTGCCTCAACTAAAGCTGTCAGACTTGCGAAAGAATTTGATGGAGAATGTGTGTTTATTACTGAACCTGCTAGCCTTTTTTCAAAAATGATTTTGATTATTTCCATTTCTTCAATTTTTTTGTTGTCTCTTTCTGAAGTAGTAGTAACGTATGCTTGATGAATAGGTACAAGAACTGTTGGTGTCATTAGTAAAATAGATCAAGCAGCTTCAGATCCAAAAATCCTTGCTGCTGTTCAGGCTCTTTTGTTGGGTCAAGGACCACGGACTACAGCTGATATCCCCTGGGTTGCATTAATTGGTCAATCTGTGTCTATTGCCTCTGCTCAGTCAGGGAGTGCTGGAGTTGACAACTCATTGGAAACTGCCTGGCGTGCGGAGAGTGAGAGCCTTAAATCTATATTGACTGGAGCCCCTCAAAGCAAGCTCGGTAGATTAGCTTTGGTAGAGACTTTAGCTCACCAGATTCGCAGTCGGATAAGAATCAGGCTTCCTAATCTCCTCCAAGGGTATGCCTTCTCTTTCTGGTTGCTACAGGTTCTTGACAGCCACTCTGTGGTTTCTGGAAGATTTTTCTGTCTACCATCTAAGTTAGACGTATGTTAGATTTCTTTTATGGCATGGGTTTTCAATATTCTTTTATGTATGTACTCCTTTCTTATTTGCCTTCTTCTAAATTTGGCCTTTGGAGAAAAATCATAACATATTATATAAATGGATTTTGAGGCTGCATTAGTATTCCTGTGGCATTTTTATGAGTTCAGATGCACACTGCAGAACTCTGTCTTTTAACAAGATTGTGTTTTTTATGAGTTCAGATGTACACTGCATTAGTATTCTCTTTTAACAATGTGCTTAAGTACTTTATATCTTCTACCACTCATGCAGACTTCAAGGAAAGTCTCAAGTTGTACAGGATGAATTGGTAAGGCTTGGGGAACAGATGGTTGATAGTGCTGAAGGTACCAGGGCCTTGGCTTTGGAGCTTTGCCGTGAATTTGAGGACAAGTTTCTCCTGCATATTACAAGTGGAGAGGTGAGTGCATGGCAGAATTTTGGGTATACACAAACACGAACATAAACAATTGCATTTATTCTGATTTTTTTTCCCTTTAGGGTGCATTTTTATGCTTTGTATTTTTCTGGAATGTAAGTGGTATATATTTTTCACCCATCTTGGAGAAATTTAATTTAATAATACTGGCTAGATTATAAGCTTATTTATTGAACAGCCTTTCATTTCTCAGCGATTAAAGATTTGAACCTGGGTCCATGCTGAAAGCTTTTGAGAACCAAATTCTTGCATGTCTATCTTCTTTTTTGTGCTATGATGTAACTGCACTTGGATGCTGAGAACACCACCTCTGTTGATAATCTTAACCTTAGTTTTTTGTAGTTTTCTGCTTTAAAATTACCCTGCCGAGTGTACAGATCAGATCTGGGAAGAATCACGGCTCATGCAAAGACATCGTAAAAGATGATCTAGTTTCTGCCAGCAACTTGAGACAAATTCTAGGACCGTTCAATTGCAAACAAAATGCTATGTAATATGCTGGCAAGAGGTCTTCATGTTTACGAGTCTGTTAGAATACCTACTGAAGTGATGTCTAGATAAGAATGTGAAGCTGCTTGAGCGAACTTTAGGACACCTGTCTTTATAGCTTAAATTAAGGCTGTTATAATTTTAGGACAATGGTACCTTTCTGATGTGATTAGCATAAATTATGCTACATATTGATGGTAAGGATGGTTGAGAATTATTTTAACATCAGATCCTGTAGCTTGTGGGGTGTGTTTTAGTTTAGATTTTCTATTCTTTCTTCTTGGAGATAGGGATATGAGATGTTTTATTATTCACTGGTTGAAGTGTGAACACTAAGTACATAGAGGAGCGAAGAACTGTAAGATCTTGCTGTGGTGAAATTTTCTTTTTGAATTTGGGGGAGATTAGGAATTAGGGAATGGTTATTAGACAAGATTTTCGAGAAAGATGTAATATATGACTTCTTAAAGTCTTGGTCCAAGGCTATGATCTTAATGGTCATTAAGCATTATTTATCTGTGCATGAGCCAACTTGAAAATGACAAATGGTGAATATGCTCCATAGAATTTACTTGTTTTTAACGAAGCAATCCATCAAGTAATATGCCAATTATTTTGTATGTCTTCATGCTGTGGTACTGGATAATTGTAAAAAGCAAATAATTCATAAGTTTTACAAGTAAAGTTGCTAAAACTGTGACTTTCTTGCAGGGTGATGGTTGGAAAGTTGTTGCTAGTTTTGAGGGCAACTTTCCAAACAGGATAAAACAACTCCCTTTAGATCGACATTTTGACATAAATAATGTTAAGAGGGTAAGTGCTCTCATTTCTGTTCCTTCAAATGAATGTCCTGTTTTTGCATTGTAATTTTACATTTAGATCATCACAGTGCTCCCATACTTCCTATCTTTGTTGACTTCTTCAAGTCCTTGCCAGATTGTTCTGGAGGCAGATGGTTATCAACCCTACCTTATTTCTCCAGAGAAAGGGTTGAGATCTTTAATAAAGATTGTTTTAGAGATGGCAAAAGAACCTTCCCGACTTTGTGTCGATGAGGTAATATCGAATTAATTTTTCCGCTGCTTGTACTTTTCATCTTACTTTGTAGCTAGCTTGTCTTTCTCCAAAAAATTTCTGTAAATTGCCTATTTTGCAATGAGTATTTATTGCTCAAATTCTTCCCCTACTTTTGTCTTTTTTCAAATCATAGATTGAGTTAAACTACAAAATTTTGATGTCAAGTTTGATCAATTTTGGTTTTAAACTACAGCTGCCTCCTGAGTTTTGTTACAATTAACCTTTTATAAGCTTTTAATCTTTCATTAGCCTCATTTATTGTATAAAAATGAAAGTCTCTTAAAGATTATTCGTGCTTTTACTAACAGGGGTCTTCCTTCTTTATTGTCCTCTGAAAGGATAACTCTTGAACTAGGACAACTTCAATTTGATATCAAAAGAACCGGTGTACTCTGGTGTACTCCTGTAATTGTGTTGTGGGAGATGAATGATTTTTTCCTCTCTCTATATTTCAGTGAATAGATTTTATGAGCAAGATTTAGTTGAGGTCTGAGGACATGGTGGGACTTTTGTGCACAGTTTCTTTCATTTTGAGTTTGTCTGTTTGTTTTATAGCTTAAATGAGTGGCTTTGAGTTTAGTTGGTTTTTGGTATTTGGGAATTTGTTCCTGCAGAATACAATGTTTCTCAGTAGCCAGATCTCTGTTGCAAAGTTAAACTGATTATTGTAAGACATACTGCTGATGCTGATCTTCTGTGATAGTAGTCCACATCTTTTTTTTTTTTTGTTTAATTGTTTTCAAGGTCCCTTAATATATGGGAACATGGCTTAAGTTACTTGTTGCATTAAAATTTTGTGTTGCTCTAGAGATAAGAAAATCCACAATTTTATATTCACCCTTATATTTTTATTTAAGTTTCTAAGCTAGTTCAATAAAAAAATTCTTAATAGGTGCACCGTGTACTTGTCGACATTGTATCATCTTCCGCCAATGCTACTCCAGGTCTTGGAAGATATCCTCCTTTTAAGCGAGAGGTGGTGACAACTTTATACTAGCACTTTATATTATTACTGGTAGGTAAAGGGGAAATAAAAAGAATTATAAATTCTTTTTGCATGAGCTATATAGGTTGTAGCGATTGCCACTGATGCTTTGGATGGGTTCAAGAATGAGGCTAAGAAGATGGTTGTTGCTCTTGTTGACATGGAGCGAGCATTTGTTCCCCCTCAACATTTTATTCGTTTGGTGCAGAGGCGGTAAGGTCAACTAGCGATTTTCTGTAGTTGTCTTTTTTTTTTTGGCCCTTTTCATTCAAAGAACATGGAAACAAAACTGACACCTAGCTTGTTATTGTAAACTTTTTATTTCTCACAAATTTCTTGGTGGAATAATTTGAAATTGCTCTGAGTTTAATTTGTTTCCTTTAGCTTTTGTTATAGAGTTTCTCTTTATATTTTTTTGGTCCACATTTTCTAAAAATCTTTTGTAACATGTTGCGATCTAGCCATCTAATTTGTGGTGTACATGTGAAAGTCATCTGCAGAAAAGAGAATATGTAACTGGTTTAGAGGAATTGAAACCATTTTATCTGTTTCTTTACTAGGATACCATTCTACTATTTTTGAATATCATGCATAATTTGTACATAAAAAACTCCTAAGTTCAGTAAGCATTTCAGCCAAAACTTGTGCTGCAGCATGCTTCTTCTACCATACGGTTTTATAACAACAGTGCAGCTAGCATGGCAATGTTTATGTTGAAATTCAGTGTGTAGATTGGCAGAGCAGGGTCTTTGAAATTCGAAATCTGGAATTGTAGAGCAGGATTTATAGAGTTGGCAGGGTGATATGCAATTGGTTGGAATTTGCATCCTCTGGTATATGAAATTTTCTTGGAGGATAGTACAGCAGAATTTTAGTGACTCGTGCACCTCTCTGAAAACTCTCTATGGTTGTTTGGTTTGTGGTTTGTAAAGATACCTGGTTTACCTTCTTGGACAGCTTCTATCATGTGTTGTAAAGTTGCTTACAGGAAATTCCTCTTGGGAGTTTATGGTATACATTTTTTGGCATATGTGAGTTGTTTTATTGTTATGAAAAGTACCTGTATATGGCTGAAAGAAAATAAATGTGTATCATGTAACCATTCTTATGAGCATATATCCCGTGAAAGTGATTTTTTTCTAATCCCATTCAGATATATATATATATATATATATATTTTCTTGGAATAACTGCATTTTTTTTGTTTCAGAATGGATAGACAACGACGTGAAGAAGAGCTGAAAGGTCGATCTTCTAAAAAAGCAGCGGATGCAGAGCAATCAATATTGAATAGGGTATTGTAGAAGATTTGCTGAACATTAGTCTGATATGTCTTATACTTTCAACGGCGTCATGTAAAAAAATATTGTATCCTTTTCTCTTGCTCTTTTCCCCATGTATGCTGCTTTTTTGAATGTGCCAAAATTTCAACTTAGGCAACTAGTCCCCAAACTGGAGGGCAACAAGCTGGCGGGAGCTTAAAGTCAATGAAGGATAAATCTGGTCAGCAAGACAAAGATGCCCAAGAAGGACCAGCGTTGAAGACTGCTGGGGCTGAGGGAGAGATAACAGCAGGTTTTGTTATGATACAATGTTCTCTTTGTTGTTTCTTACGTTTCTAAGTATACCTTGCTAGTTTGTGACTTCTGTAATCAGTTCATGTTACATGTCTTGTTTAGTTGTGTTCTCAAAATGTGTAGAGACTTGTCTATTTTTATCTTCAATACCTAATCCTTCTTTCAAACAAAGGGTCTGAAAGATAGTTCTTGTTGCATTTTTCTCAATTTTCTGATGGTGAATGAATTGCAATGAGCCCTGTGGAGCCTGGTGCTTTACTAGAAACTTTCAGGGGTTCTTGTCTGTGGGTAGGTAATTGAAACGTTGCAAGGGCAGTGCCTTTGTTAAGAGGATGTACCTGCACATGTTTTATGTTCCCTTTCTCAGAGAAGAGCTGTAATTGATAATAGAAATGGTTCCTCTTTAATAGACTTGTTGCATATGCAAGACTCCCGTAAAAGGGGAGACTGTATTGTTAAACAGACAAAGATGAGACCAAGGGAAATGTTATGCAAGAATAAGTGGATTCACTTATTGCATACATACTGCCAGTTCTTAGATTTTGTAACTGCATTTCTGTTTCCTTGTTGGATGATTTAGATGGACAGCATATCTGCCTTTTGCCCTTGCCTGTTATTTGGATGCATTAGTAGACAAATTGGAAGAAAATGTTTTACTTCTTGCTTGAACATTTTCAAGTGCTGCAATTCTTTACGCAGTTTTGCTTTGTTAATCTAATGAAGTTTTTTTTAAGGCAAAAAAAATTTATTTAGGCATTAATCTAATGAAGTTGAAGGGATGTGTAGCTATTTTGTGCTGTAAAACTGTGGAAACGGTTATTAGAAGGCAATCAGATCAACTTTTTCCATGTCTTATTAAGTGCTTGATTATTCTGTTTGGTTACCTTTTTTTTTTGGGGTGGTTTGTCTTTCTTGTCTTTTCCTTCCCTCATAGAGCACGTGTGACAGGGTTCTTGTTGAAGAGAAGTGCTAAAACAAATGGATGGAGCAGGCGATGGTTTGTTTTAAATGAAAAAACTGGAAAGGTCAGTAGTTTTTATTTGTTAATTATGTCATCTTTTTAATCATAATGGTGAAATCACTTTCATAGTACAATTGTTATGATCTGGTCATACACATTGCAAAATCCATGTATTTAATTTGTTTATTTATTTTTGACCTTCCCCCTTTTGATACATAATAACTGTCTCTCTGCTTGTTGATTAATTCTTTTATTACTTTTGTTTTTAATTAAGTTGGTTCTGACCATTTCGCACATTTTTGCTTATTGTTTTTACTAACATTGTTTTTCAAGTTTGGCACTTGACTCGCAACTTGTCACGTTCTAGTAGTGTCATGACTTGCCCTTGGTTTTTTCCCATTTTAAAGCTGATTATGAAAAACTGGTCATTGAAAATTTGTTGAAAAAAATTGAAAACATGTTCATTGAACATTTTGAAAAAAGCTAAAAGCCATTTCCAGTAATAGCTAAAAAGCCGCTGTTCAGAATCAGTTTTTCTCAACTCAAAAGTAAAGCTAAGAGGTTGAATTGAAATGTCAATGAGAAAAATGGCTTTTTTTGAAGTGTCTCGGGGAATTTTTTCCCCAAAAATTTAAAACTAGAAACAAAGAACAATATAAAACTCTCTCATATAGAGTTTTTTTTTGCTTCCAATTGATCAGATTATTTTAAGCAGGCATGGATGGGCCCTGACTAGTTTTGTAGATGCATTCTTCATTTTAAGAACAGAAATTTTCTCATCTGATACTAATGATATCACTGGCTTTCCCAGCTTTTTTTTTTTACCCCATGCACCCGCTGGCTGCACAATGGCGGGGCATGCTTTGGAATTTATCAATTTAAGGTCCTGTTTGAGGTTGTGGTAGCTTATTGAAAAGTACTTCACCTAATAGAGCTTTTAACAAAAGCACTTATTAAGTGTTCAAGTATTTTTAAGTATATTGTTTGGCTATATAGTTCAATAAGGACTTATTGTACTGGATAATGTGCAATTTAAATGTATTTATCTCTTTAATTAGTTCATAATATCGGATAAAATGACTAAATTTAATATTTTATTTTTTAAAACACAAAAGCAATTCTAAAAGCACCAAATTTTAGCTTTTGCTGAAAGTGCTTTTAACACCAAAAGCTCCACTTCTAATTTCATAATGTGATGTTCACCAAACACCTCAAAAATGCTTTTAGTATCCAAAAGTGTTTTTTTTTTACCAAAAGCACTGCAACTCCAAACAGGGCCTAAGTCTGCTTTTAGTTATTACACTGAATTTAACTATTGAGGCACCTTTGCTTATTAACTCTGGGATTAGCTATTGAGGGTGACATGCTCCTTTACTTTATGTTTTTCTTAAAAATATCGTTGTTTGATGTTGTGGACTGAATGAAAGTCTCTTTCACTTGTATTCGTGCATAGATTGTTTTGTATTATCATTCTGTGCTGGCGAGTATAATAGTGTTATAATCATTTTCTAATGTTAATTTTTTTTCTTCAGCTTGGATATACCAAAAAACAAGAAGAGCGGCATTTTCGTGGTGTGATTACTTTAGAGGTATAAATTGTGGATTATTGTTTGAGATATGACTGTGATATCAATATATTGCTTGTTTGGTGGGAGCTTGTCTTGACTCATTTTCCTGCATGTATTTTGTTTTGCTCTTTGAACTTGTGTACTTTTTTTTCTGTGGTTCTTTATTGATATGTGGAGGTCTTTTTGAAGTTTCCATGGTAACTGTTCAGTAATTGGTGGTTGTCCCAACCATCTCTTGGACAGATTCATATTATGGGAAAGGAGTAATAAGCTTTTGATTATTGCACAAGATAATCTGAAGTTATACATCCCATTTTTTCGGTTTCTTCAAAGAATGTTCATCCCCTTTTGTCAGTTTTTTCTTCAAAGAATGTTCAATCTGTCCCCAACTTTCTCCCGATTACATTTGTTGACTTTCTGTCAATATTGTTTTTTATGACCTTTTACGAGTTTCCGTTCTTGTAGGCAAGTACGTGTCATTTTAATTGTACCAAAACTACGTTTTGCTCTCTGTTGTCCTAATGCTCAGAAAACCCCCTATTTTTCATTTCAGAAAAGATGTTAACGTGATTATATGGGGTTTGAAGGTGTTGAAGAAAATTTGTATTTCTGGTTCTGTTTGTAGGAATTGAAAAAGATAATTTTGCAGTCTATGAATTCACAATGGGGGATGAATAATGCTTTTATGCTGTCAAGAATTCATGTGAAATCCTTTTGTTGTTACTCTTCTTTTGAACAAATCAGTGCATCTGAAATGGCTTTTATCTCATTTTGGTAGCCACTTTTCCCACCCTTTGAAAATGGTGATAATTTTTAATGGAAAGCTTCATGTCCATGCCAAATTATGGTATGCTAGTGAAAGCTCATTATTGAGTACAACTTAAAAACGCCATGGTCCATGACGAAATGAATCGTCCTGTATTTTTATTTGAATATCTAGGAATGTAACCTTGAAGAAGTTGATGATGACGAAGCTCCTCCCCCACCCAAAAGTTCCAAGGATAAGAAGGCTAATGGGCCTGATGCTGCAAAAGGACCTAGTCTTGTATTCAAAATAACGAGCAGGGTTCCATACAAAACTGTTCTAAAAGGTTGATAACTGATCTGGAGTTTCTTTTGCTTCTGAGTTCCATGAGTGTTTTCTTCCTCTTTTCTTTTAAGATTCACATTGATGGAGAAAAAGCCTGAATTGGTGTTGCAGCTCACAGTGCTGTTGTTTTAAAGGCCGAGAGTACGGCAGATAAGACTGAGTGGCTGAACAAGTTGAGAAATGTTATTAGTTCAAAAGGTGGTCAAGTGAAGGGCGAATCTGGACCTCCGATCCGCCAAAGTCTTTCTGATGGTTCTCTTGTAAGTAATTGTATTAGTTTGTTTTTGTAACTTACAACTTGGAAAACTCATATGAATAGTTCTTTTCTAGTTTTCTTGTTTTGATCTGCTGTGGATGTAAAAGAATTATCTTGGTTAAAATTTATTTGTGTTGTCCGGTACTTGTCTTCTACCTCACTTTTCTCTTATTTTGTTTCAAATGCTCCTTTTTAGTTGTGAAACTTTTTCATCTTCATTTTTCTTAAACAAGAATATAGTGTTATGTAATCTAGCTTGTTACTCTTAACTCGCTGGCAATTTAGGAAACCATGACGAGGAGACCTGCTGATCCTGAAGAAGAACTTCGGTGGATGGCTCAAGAAGTTCGCGGTTATGTTGAAGCAGTTCTAAACAGTCTTGCTGCCAATGTCCCAAAAGTCAGTTTTTGTATGCATTTTAGAAATCTTTGTCTATGCACGTATCTTTCTGTAGTTTCCCTTCAAATCTTATACCGCCCTATGATTCTCCAGGCGGTTGTTCTTTGCCAAGTAGAAAAGGCAAAAGAAGATATGCTTACGAAGTTGTACAGTTCTATCAGGTTGGCACACTTCTTTCTAGATTCCATTGCGTTCCTTGCATGATTTAAGATCTTCTGAGTGTGGTGGGAGATTCTTTTGTGTTTTTATGTAGCAGGAAAAGCTTGTCTCTCTAAGAACTGTTATTATTATTGTCATCAATAAAGGAACCTTGTGGACAACATCTCTTTCTCTGTCTTGTCTATTAGATTCAGTTTTAGTCTCCTTCCTCTCCTGTATTTTTCCCTTTAATTTGATGGTTAAAAATATTGGATTGGCTCCAGTTCCCAAAGTACAGCAAAGATTGAAGAGCTGCTTCAGGAGGATCAGAATGTAAAACGCAGGAGGGAACGCTTTCAAAAGCAATCTTCTCTTCTTTCAAAGCTTACCAGGCAGCTCAGCATTCATGATAATCGAGCTGCTGCTGCTGCAAGTTATGCAAATGGCAGTGGAGCAGGTGATGATATTCCCATTTTCCATTTATATCTGCTTCTTCATTATTGAGAGCCTTTCTTTTTGCATATTCGTGAGCAGTTATGAACTATTTTGACCCCTTCGTTGGTAGGTCAGAAGTTGGGAATGAGCAAGTTTAGCAAAAACAGTCTTCAAAAATGATCAGAGTTCATTTTGTTTCTTAATGTTGAGTAGCTGACTATAGCTGTACCCTGTAGAGATTATGGCTGGCATATTGGCTTCTACTTCTTGCAAAATTGTGGTTCATTGCAAATGCTTATCTTAAAAGTAAAGACATGGAAGTCCGGAGAAAACTCATAGAGCAAAGATATCATAAACTTGTGATTTCCTAAATTACCAAATTGATTTTTCTGTCGTCGTAATTCTCGCCTTTGGTCAAAATTTTTGGCATTAGAGCATGTTCTGGATGTGGACAGTGGACTTTGTAAAATTTAATTAGTTTTATCCATAATATTTTTGGTTTCTTGAATGTGGAGTAATTGGTAATGTTGTGTGCACCACTGTCCTTAATTGTTTGTCATTGGTGAATTTCTCCAAACGCTGAAGTTGTAATTCAGCCTGGGAAACTAAAAAGAAAATCAGCTGTTCTGACCACCAAGTTGGTGCAAGTACTTCTGGCTGATGGATTGTGGTTCCAGTTCTCTCTCTTGAGATTTTATGCCAGTCATACCTGTCTTCTTTTTTCTGTTAGCTTTTGTTTGGCAAGCTGCTGCAAGTTTTCTATGAGATCTTTAATTTAAGTACTGGTTGAAATCTGGTAGTTTGATCAAAGAGAATTTGAAGTGTGTTGAAATATGTTGTCTTTTGACTTCCTTTGTTTCTTCTATTGGTTGATCAAAGAGAATTATTTGGTGCATTCTTTACTTCGATGCAGAAAGTAGTCCTACCACTTCTGGACCTTCATCAGGTGATGAGTGGAGAACTGCTTTTGATGCTGCTGCCAATGGTCCCACGGACTCTTATGGTGACTCGAGATATGGATCCAATGGCCACAGTCGTCGGTACAGTGACTCTGCTCAAAATGGTGATGTTAGCTCCAGTTCCGGTTCCGGCCGCCGCACAACTCCTAATCGATTACCACCTGCACCGCCATCATCTGGTTCCGGCTATAGATTTTAGATTTAGATAATATTAAGACAAATGATTCTTTCTTAATGGGATGGCTATTTGTACTTGTTTTTGTTGAGCTGCTGAGCTCAACTGCTGTTATAATAGTTTTGTAGAATTGGTATACATGTCTTTGTAGATAGATATATCTCGATCATTATTTCTTTCTTTTCAATCATGCTTTGATGATGCTGGATTTTGAGATGTACTGGCAATACTTTAATTGGATACTCCTCAACGGATTGTCGGGTTTTCCCCTTTTTATTGGTTGAAATTGGAGCAGATGCATTCTATAACATGATACTGTTTATACTCCTTAGTGACGTGAAAGGGGTACAGTAAGATGTTGGAGCAGCAAAAATCGTTCTAATTCGCTCGTCCTCTAAAATTCGGATGTCTGACGTGTTATGATGCGTGGTGGCAATGTCTGCTTTGAAAGGGTATCCACGTCATAATCTCCAAAACATGTGGCTATCTAGTTCAGTCAGGTCATATTTTGGCATGATGTGGAATCCACTAAAGCAAAAGTTGTGATGTTTAATCCGCGTGAAAGACGAGTTAGCCATTTAAAAAACTTAGAGCTGACTAGGCTGTACGAAAAAGCACTGTTGTGATGTGGCACTTGTGCTGATGATATGGTTGCCATGTCATCATTTATTGTGACATGGATTACAATTCATTTGAAATGACATGGATAACATGTCGTTCTTAAAAGTGATTTGAAAAACATGTCATATTGGAAGATATCATCGGTGGAAGTGATTTGGACAACACGATTATTTCATCACATGATATGTTAAGATGTGTCATTCTTTGATAGCAGAGCTAGTTTTCACATTAATCGATGACATGGATGACATGTCATCATTTATAATGAATCATTTTTGTTCGTGACATGGTCGATGTGTCATATGGCACAACAATTTGAAAGATGACATGAAAAATATGTCATATGCCATATCATTATTTATTTGAAGTGACATGGCAGCCACATCATAATCTTGAAGTGGCGTGGATAACATATCATATGACACGTCATCTATTTTATGATGTGGCTTACACGTCATTTTATAATTAGGTGATATGACTATCATATCATTCAAGAAATTGATCAGGATGACATGTCATATGATATGTCATCAACAACTTGCATTGACATTTCATCTGACGTGTGCCACACGTCAAATTATGTGAGTAACATGGCTACCATATCAAACAACTTTAGTGATATGGATAACATGTCATATAACATATCACCTATTATATGACATGACGTGTCTTACACATCAGAATGTGTGGTCATATAATATGGCTGCCACATCAAATAGTTTCAGTGACATGGATGACATGTCATATGACACATCATCAAATGTATGACCCCTCTCACGTCATCTTGTGTGGGTCACATGGCTATTGCATCAGAGAACTTTAATGACATGGATGGCATGTCATCAGATTGTATGACATGTTTTACAAGTCAGCTTGCTTGGATGACATGGCTGCCATATTAAACATCTTTAGTTACGTGGATGACATGTCATGTGATGTATGACGTGTTATACAAGTAATTTTGCTTGAATGACATGGCTGCCACATCAGATTTTTTTAGTAACGTGGATGACAAGTCATATGACACATCATATACAAGTTGATGGTGTGGCAACACATCGGCGATCAAAAGAAGTGGCTAACATATGGAGGTACACGTCATCTATTGATTGACACGTTAATTTCTGTTCGATAACATGTTTACTACACAAGAAAAAGTTTCTGACAAAGATGACAAGTCATCGTCACACATCATCATCATTAATGTGATGTGTTTAACACCTCATCAAGGCTGCGGATGTGGAAGCCATGCCATCATAACACACTGACATGGATGACATGTCATCCTAATGCATCGTTCAATCATGTGAAATGGCGTACACATCATATTTATTCAGTGACATGTTAGCCACATCAGATTGCAAAAGTGATGTGGCTGACATGTCAGATAACTTTAATTATATAAATTACACGTCATCACATGTCATTCTTTCGGGTGACGTGTATGACACATCATAAATTGAGTGCGATGTGTCAACAATTGACCATTGATGTGGACAACATGTCATAATGCTCAATAACAGCTGTACAAAAAAAAAAAATTACTATTACAATCCTCCCACCCCACTTCCCTCTTTGTTTCTCCCAAAATTATTGTTACAATTTTACAAATGGTTGTGCAGCAGAAATTACTAGTCATCAATCTTCTTCTTCTACTTCTCCGCCACCGCTCTCCTCATCTGCCACCCCTCACTGCTTGACGAACACTCGCTATCTCCAACCTCAAAACCCTCCTCCCTTCAAAATTTCATCTCTCTACACAAGGAAATTTTGTACTGAATCTTCTTAACCTTTTAATTCTGGTCCAGCATTTCAAAATTCATTCATTCAATTCGAACCTTAGCCTTCTATTTTTCTGGATCCCTCGGAAGAGACGTGGAGAAATCACATGTTATGGATGGAGTAAGTTACAACTTTCATTTCAGGCTTCTCAAAAAAAAAAACTTTGATTTCAGGCTACGTAATATCTCTTTTGCTTCATGTAGTAATTAGTGGCAAAGTAGAATTCCCACAGTTTTAGTCGTCATACTCGTCCTCCTTTTTCTTCTAGGATCCTAAGGCTCCGTTTGGATTAGCTGTTTTTGGAATTGTTTTTCAAAAACAGCACTGTAGCATTTCGTTTTTGAAATACAATTCCTTTTGAATTAGTTGTTTTTGGGGTTGTTTTTCAAAAATTATATGAAAAACTTTTACTGTAGATGTTTTTTGGATTATTTTTAGAGGTATTTTAAAACATATTTTTGAGTATTTTTATAATTTATAATTTATATATTTATATACATTTATAAATATTTATAAAAAAATATATTTATATAATTATATAAAAATATATAAATGTATTATATTATATATAATACATAATATAAATATATTTATAAATGTATATTATTATAAATGAATATTATATAAATGTATAAATTTTATATTTTTATAGGGTAAAAAATAAAAAAGCCCATGTGATAAACCTAATACACAGAAAACCCCCCCATAGTTTCAAAATATGCAACACGACCCTCATGCTTTGAATTAAATTGTAAAGGTGACAGAATCCGTCAAACTTAACGGAAATGAACAAAATGACCAAAATACCCTACTATAATAAAGCAAAAGACAACTCAAAAAAATCATTTGTTTTATTCTCTAAATAGAGAAAATTGAGGGTCAAGGGGTAGAATAGGTATATTTGATAAAAATTAGGTATAAAATTTTTTTTTAGGTTCCAATAAGTCATTTCCGTTAAATTTAACGGATTCCGTCACCTTTACAATTTAGCTCAAAGTATGAGGTGTCGTGTTGCATATTTTGAAACCATAAGAGATTTTTCTGTGTATTAGGCTTACCACATGGGGCTTTTTTGTTTTTAACCCATTTTTATATAAATATACATTTATGCATTTATAATACATTTATAAATATATTTATGTATTTATATAAAAATATAAAAATGCATTATAAATATATTATATTATATATAATACATAATATAAATATATTTATAAATGTATAAGTGTATATTATTTTAGATGTATAAATTATAAATGAATATTATATAAATGTATAAATTAATATATTATAAATATATATTAATATTATGTATAAATGTATTAATATATTAATATTATGTATAAATGTAAAATTAATATTATGTATGTTAATATATATGTATAAATGTATTATATTATATATAATACATAATATAAATGTATACTATATATTATGTATATATTATAACATATATATATTATGTATAAATGTATATAATATATAATATTTATATTTATATTAATATATTATAAATATATAAAATTATTTTTTAAAATAAAATAAAATATTTATAATATGTATAAATAAATATATAAATATATAATATACATTAATATTAATTATACATATTATAAATATGGTGTTTATATAATATTTTAATTTGTAATAATTATTGTATATTTCATTATATAAATATTTATATAATATATAATTTATAAATATATAATATATAATTTTCAATTTGTATAATAAACATAATATTGTATATATATAATATAATATATTATACATCATATATATTTATACATTATTACATATTATGTATATTATATATTATACATAACATTATTATACATCATTATACACAATAATGTACATACTAATATTATACATTAATAATGTATATATTATAATATAATGTACATAATATATTATGTATAAATATTTATACATTTATGTATACAATATTACATATTATTTATATTATATTATATTATGTATAATATTAATGTATATAAATATTTATATAATATATAAATATATAATTTTCAATTTGTATATTTCAATTTATATTAATATAATATATATATATATATAATAATATACATAATTGAAATATACATATGGAGTTGTTTTTGATATAATGTTTGGATATGGTGTTTTTGGAGTTGTTTTGGAAATACACATTTACTGTAGCATTTGGAATGTGAAAAACAGTTTTTCAAAAACAGAGGCAAAAACACATAATTTGCATAAAACAATTTGCACATGACTGGGTGAAAGGTAGATATTGATCCCTTTTCTGCTGGTAAGTATTGTTATTTTGGTTGCCTGATTGATGTCTTTTCTGGCTGTACATTGATATTCAACTATTATAGTTATATACGTATATTGGTTAGAGCTTAATTTGTAGGATCTATTGCAATGCAATGCTCTTCAATACAATCAGCTATGGTTAGTTTTTGTATCATATGTTGAGAGGGAATGCTGGGCCTGTTTGGAAGGTGAGTTTTTTGGGTGTTAATATAAAACTTTACTGTAGATCACTGTAGAAGTTGTAGAAAAAACTTTTGTAAAAATTTGGGTGTTTGTAAGATGAAAATTTTTTTCATTTTCATTTTCTTTCTTTCATTTTCTTTTTTTTTTTTCTTTTTTTTTTCTTTTCCTTCCTCCCTTTCTTCCCCTTCTCCCTCCCCCTTCCCTCCCCTGATCCCTCTCCCGGTTCCTCCATGGCAGCAACCAACAGGTGAGAATCAAATTTTTTTTTTTTTTTTTGCTTTTTTTCTCCTCTCCTCTCCTTCCCCCACCACCCTTCCCTGCCATCCCTTCCTTCCCCCGCCACCCCTTCCCTTCCCCTTCCCTCCCCAGCCACCCCTGCCACCCTCCCCTCCCCCTCTTTTT